AATGCCACTCCATAGCATTAAATTCACCAGAGGTATTTCATATCCTCAGTTCATCACTGCCCATTTGATATTCAGTCATTCCTGTTATTTCCCATCTCTTTAACTGGATACAGATACTGGCCACAGCTGCAACATGTTGAGCTCAGTTGGCTACCAAACAGCTGGTGTTGCCATTTGCCAAAGACTCCATCATGTTTGCTACATTGCTGATAGCTCTTTTCAGAGAAAAGATTACTGGCCTCAAATGTCCTTACTTCGTTGCTCTTGCATCTGTTTTGCATTCTGCTTTTAGGGTTATTTTGAATAGGCCAGGTAAATGAATGCGAATGGAGAACTACAAGAAAACGCACAAAAACACTGAAACCTTTACTGGATATGAAAACATCACTTTAGCATTCTCATGTGTCTTCTGCTTACATCTCATTTGATTAATAGGAGACACATTTTCTATGTTTGACAAAACGCCTCCACTAGCAAACAATGTGGAGAGAAGAACATTTGTGAAATGCATAAATAAAAAGAGAACCCTTCAGAATCCTCCTATAGAGTAAAACTGTACACTGAAAAAAAATAAATAAAATCAAAAATCTGTGTATTTGTATCACTGCCCTCTACTGAATTTCAAGTAGAATATCTTCCTAATGTGCATTCATTTTGAATTGGATTAGTGCTAAAAATTACTCAGAAATTACTTGAAATGCTACTAATTAGAGGTTTGCTCTTCACTGAGGAGAAAGAATTCGGTGCTTTTGAAAGGGTAGATCTGAATTCTGTAATCATCACATTCACCAAGCCTGCACATAAAGATGGTGTAGCAACTGCATGTCAGCCTGAGTGGCCAATGGCAATTCTGGGTAGAAGTTTCTGCAAGATTTGGGATATTTTACTGGTATTGCAGTGACAATATGTAAATCAAACAGCAGCATTTTACAACTGCCAATTATTTCTACATTTTTAAACAGGTTGGTAGTCTGTCCTCAGTTACTGTGAATGAAGCACAGGAACCCAGTGACCAAATCAGAAAAAAAAAAAAAAAAGAAAAGTCACAACATTCTGGTCAGGAACACAAGAATTTTTTGAATATACAAAATGTTTTGGGATTCTGCTGAACAGAAAGACCTTTTGATTTTTATGAAGCTGTGAAGAATAATTTACACTGACTACAGAAAGTGCAGTGGACCAAGTAATCTGAGGGCCTCAAAAATTCTGTATTTACGTATTAGATGGAATTGTCCCATACTTCACACTGAGAAAGCTTCCCCTGCCTCATACATAGTGGGTTTTTTTCAGCTGTCAAGAGCAGTTAAATGTTTTTAAAGGCACTTTAGTCTCCCATGGGAAATATCAGGAATGCAGAGTTCACATTTGTAAAAGTAATCTGCAAACAGATATGACAATAATTGGTACTGTGTGTACATAAAAAAAATAATTTGGGGCACTTGAATGAGAGTGGTACATCAGCTCAAGGAAACAATGATATCTATCTAACTACAGTCTCAGCGAGAGCATGAGACACAAATGCACCATTCTTGTGGAAAACTGCATGGAAATGTATATTTGTTAAGCGTGGTGCAGTGCATAGGACAACTTATACACTTCTCCAGTCCCGCTGTTATTGTACCCAGCAATTAATGACTTACCGTGTTTAGATTCCTAAAACACAAGTGGCACAGAGTAGTGCTACAGACTTTGACAAATGGGGGACTAAGATCTAGATTATCAAGGGACAGTGGACATCTAGCTGCCTCTGAAGTCAATGGGAATTATGTACCTAGAGACCACAGAGCGGCTGGACAGAGAGGCCCAAAGGTATGCTTAAAAAGCCAAATGAGTATGTAGCAGATAAAACCAGACCAGCTTAATCTGCCACAGGGGGAAACAGCAAGAAAGTAAGCCCCACCATGGTCACTAGATATGTATCAGATTTACTGGTCTCAAGTTAATGAAACCACATATATCCTTCATGTTACCCATAGCAGAATAATGGTCTAGCTCAGGTGATGAAATACGGCTTGGTTAAGCAAGTTTCCAAAAATCTTACAGGTGCTACGTGATAGACTAAGTCTACAGCAATTTCAGGAGTTTCATGCAGGGAGATGTACTTTGAATGCCCTCTTCAGCTACTGTTTCTATCACTTTTGCCTTCTTCCCAGTCCATCATCTGCCCTCAGCCTTGCTTGTTCTAGCTAACAAAAGTCCATAATCTTTCCACCACCTCCATGATTTACATGGTTTCTCCCTTTCAAACCCAAGTTGGGTGAGCAGAACATCAGGATCACAGAGTGTCCCATGCCTCTGTTCTGATACCTGGTGTTTGAATATGGTGGGTTCAGAGCTGTATCGCCACATCCATGTCATGTGACTGTAAGTATACATGCTGGCTTTAGGTGGCTCTAATAGGAGGGAAAAAGAAGGAGAGGGATATAGCACACTTAATTCTCCTAGTAAATCTGTGCCTACAGTGTGCATGGTCGGTTTTCTGCCCTTCTGTGTTGTTTCATTCAGTTTCATTTTAAGAATGAGTTAGGTTTTCCCTCCCTTGGGTGCTGAAACAAGGGCTTTTTCAGAATAGAAACATTAATTTCTGTAACTCCTCTCCATCTGATCTATTCTGACCGCAATTTTCCAGGGACAGAAACTATGTGTCACTGTGTCTCTGGACAGGCTCACCACAAGTCTCAGGTTTGGAAAGCAGCTTCCACATGTCATATGACATAATAAAAAAAGGAACTTATATAATTAAGTGCTTCCTTAAGAAACCGTATTCCATTGCAGTGCTTGTGCAAACTATTTCCATTTTGTTCCTGTAGACTTTGAAGTTTCTCTTCCAAATTAGAAAAAAAAATCATTCAGAACTACAATTCCTTTGGGTGCGCACCTGCAAACACACACATTCACACACATGCCTTTGAATAGCTTGTTGCTTGCTCATGAACACAAAACAGATTTCTGTTCCTACTGGAAAAAAAAAACAACAAAACACAAACAAACAAACAAACAAAAAAACCCAAAACACTGTACATCATAAAGTACCTAAGAAGCAATTTAAGCTGTCATCAGCAAAAACATCTGCTCCCAGTGCTCATCCCAGTGTCTTCAGGCACATGGAAGCTGTTGAATAGGGTCTGAAACACTTTGGGAAAGGGATAGTGAAGGATTACAAGCCAAATGGATGATAAAACAGGAACAGCATCAGAATATGCTTCAGAGCTGAGGGCAGAGACACATTTTGGGGCGCTCCTTAGGCAGTTCCCACTGCTAACAATGCCATTTTCTACTGGAGTAACTAGGAAGGGGAATTCAGTACCCACAGACTAGTAACTAAAACATTCTGATCATCCTGATGGGAGTAGGGGACATACTTCTCCACAAGAAACAGGTGGCTGCAAATGGCAAATAGTTTCTCTCTCTTCAAAGGTTAGCGTTTGGGCCCTGCAGGATGCCAGAGAAGTTGCTGGAGTCCCACTGAAAATGACATTTCTTCTTGTCCATAAAAAGGGTTATAAGAGCACTGTCAGGGCTTCCTTTCTCCACAGCCACAGAGGCTCCATTTTTACAAGGGGGAAAAAGAAAAGGACAAAGCGAGGGAGTAATTGGCAAAATACAAGAAGCTGCTGAGCGCCGGAGGGGAGTTGGTCAGATGTAAATTTGAAAGTTTATGGATTGGTTTCCTTGCCAATTTGTGATGGAGGAAAGAGGAAGGGGGATGGAGGAGAAAAGGGAGGAAAAGTTTTGGAGAGCAGTAAATCTCCATATTTTTTGTTTATTACATGGGTGGTAAAAATTTCAGAGGAAAGGCATTTGTCAAAAAAAGATGACGGCTAAGGGTGCTGAGCAAGGGAAAGCTTAAGAATATGGGTTACCTAGTAGTTCGAAGCCCACAGCTAAGTTAACGAGGCTTTATACCACTGCAAGAGGTAATTGCAAGAGCCAGTAGCAGGCCAGGCAGATGAAAAGGCTATTAGAAAACAAGAATACAAGAAAGAGAAGCTACTGTTGATACATGCACTGATGGGAAGACTCAGTCATTCACAAATTGAGGGACAAATCCAAAGAGAAATGCTAAAACCCTTGTGCCAGCCAGTGGAGTAGCAGGCATCCAGTAATGCTGAGGATTTCACCATACCACTGAGGCTGATATTTGTGAACTGATGACACCCTCTACTCCAATGCTCATATAGCCCATACTAACATGGGGTATGCCTGCTTGAGCCACAGACATGCTGCATGGAGAGGCAGAGGTATAGTGGTGTTTCACTCAGGGCTAGTTATCTTTGCCCCTGGAATCTGAGGAAATAAACTGAGAGATACTTCAGGATTTTTGCCCAGCACAGTATTTTAGTCATAAGCATGCTAAGCCTACCTGGTGGGCAGCATCTTTTGGGTCTGCAGGGACATACAATCCTTGAGTCATAACCTGCTCCAGCTTCACACAGAGAAAACAATCCATAGTGGAGGAACCCTACTGCCAGCATCATGAAGAGGGCAGGCAGATAATCCAACTACATCCCTGAGCCTTAAAGTAATGAAATGCCAACCCAGCTCTGACCTCCAGTGCTTTCTGGACTCTTGACAGCCTTGTAAACTTTGTCTTATGAGGCTACTCCAGTTCATGTTGGCAGGAATCAGCCCCTAAATCCTTTCTACTTTCTTCTTACTTCCATGAAGAAGAACAGAACTTGAATATGACATCATACAAATTTATGCCAATTTAACATTACTGAGGGAACTCAAATGGGAGTCTCCATCCCAAATACAGCTCCAAAGCCTGTTTACATTGTTTGGGAGGGAAAAAAAAAAAAAAAAGGCAAACAAAAACCAACACCAAATACCAATAAAAAACCCCAAAGCGGATGTAGCATGTATATCAGTTGTTGTTTAGACCTTAGTGAATCAGATGCATTTGAACCAAAATTATTTATTCTTACCTCTCTTGGAAATCCCAAATATATATACATAAATGCATAAAAATACACCTCTCCAAGTAATGGACACAATACCTGCTCTAGGTCTGCTGCTGTTCTTTTCTTTTCTCCTGTAGCATCTTGATATGGTAATATGAAGAGTTCAGCAGATGTGGGCAGACCAGGGAGCACTGCGACCAGAATATGCTTGCTTGAAACACCTGTCGCCTGATACACAGACAATTAATGGACAGATAAACAGTGGGGATGACACTGAATGCTGACAGCTTCTTTGCTAAGGCATCACAGTACTATACAAATGATGTAGGGTTACATCTGGTACAACAGAGAGAATCTTGTCAAATCCACTGCAGGTAAAAACTCAGGGACTAATAATTTCCTGATCTAAACTATTTTACCATGTTCTCCAGTAAAATATGCAGGGTCTTAAGGCAACAGTGATAATCAGACAGGGCAAAAGGAGCTCTTGAAAAACAGTTGCATATGGTGCAATTTGCTTTGTGTAAATTTAGCTATTTTAATGTTATCTGACTATCCCAAGTTAGCCCCTGAGATTCTTCATTTAGACAATAGTAAGAAGCCACATGTTAAAGGGCAAGGTATGTGGGCAGAATTGTACTCTAGAGGCGTGATTACCCAAAACACCTTAAAAGCCTAGTGGACACTCAGGAAGAGAGAAGATGATGAATCAAGTTTGAATTCCAAAAGCCAAACAAATCACATCCTGGGCCAATTCTACAAGCTATTGTGGACTTTTTTTGTCTTGGCTGAAAAACTTCAGCAACTAGTTTAAACCCAAAACCCCCTTCAATACAAATTAACCAAAATTCAGAAAAAAGTACCCCTCAGGAATCACTACCAGGGTCATCTCTGGTCATGGGTTTCAGTTGCTGTTACCATGACGTTACACAATCAGATTGTGGAGTTCTCCAGAAAAGGAGCTAGTTCAGACTTCAGGAAGTTTTGTGAGCCAAAAGAAAGAGAAACATAGTTTGCTGAATCTTTCTCCATTACAGGTTGGAATGGATTGGGGTTAGAAGGGATGGAGATCATGTAGTCCAATTCCTTGCTAAAGCTGGTTTACCTAGAGCAGCTTGCACAGGATCCCATCCAGTCGGATTTTTAATATCTCCAGAGAAGGAGACTCCACAGCCTCTCTGGTCAGCCTCTGTGTTGTGGATTATCCAGTAAATGCATTTAAATCTCAAGGTTTTGATTTAAATCTTAAATTTCAAAGTGCTGAATTTAGTAGGTCACTTCTAAAGGGAAAAAAAAAAAAAACAAACCAAAACAAACAAAAAAACCCCCAACGTCCTGAGATACAAGGGCAGACCACAGCAGCTGGATGCAGCACAGAGATTCCTCTGCAGTAAGGACTTGCAACCTCCTCAGACACCAACTGGACCTAAAACTCATGAACTCTTTTCTCTAGTAGATCAGGAGCAAAGACTTGGAACAGCTGCTCATTGAAGGAAATGATGGACAGAGGACAAGGAATCAGTGAAACCGATTAGACATCTCCATTACCTGAGCTAATTCTGTGGCTATCCAATGCATGACTGCTGACAACCCAGGGAAAACCATGTGAGCTATGAAAAGGGAACCCTTCCCCTCCCCTGCACATTAAGGAAAAGCACATGGGTTTGTTGCTGTTGTTTTTTTTTAAAATATGGATTTAGAAAAAAACCCCAACCAATCAAACAAACAAAAACCCATGAAAAAAAACAACAATATAAAGGTGTCATATATTCTTTCCAAGTATTCTGTGAAGCCAGGGCTTGCAGTATTTCTGCTTGCCTAACAGGTTGTTTCAAGATGCCAAGGAAAAGACACAGTATTACCAGTTAATGGAAAGTCTTCATTTTCTAAGGCTGGGAATTATTATTTTTTTGTCTGGAAGCTTCTGGCTGATCTATTCAGTTCATTCCTGTCTTCTTCATCCAAAGCGGGAAACAGGACTCAAAAAATCAATGATGTGAGCAAATAATTATGATTATAATGCAAAATAGGATATTTTATGATAATCTGAAATTATCCCTACTTAAAGAGAAGATCAGATTTTAGTAGAGAACTATAATTTCTTATGCAGAATTTTTATCCAAGTCTATGGTACTCTGTAGTAAGAATGTAATATTTTAATAAAAGTTCATAAAAATTCTATAGCACAGCTATAATTTCCTATTGAATTATTTAGTTATTCAACTCATTTTTATACAGTTTACTTAACTGCTGTAGAAATCTGTTGGTTTTATCTTTAATTTTTACAGGATCTTCTCACAAAGGCTTGTTTAAGGTGAATCATTTAGCTATGTAAAAAGGGATAATTAGCTACCGTTTTTTTTATTTTTTTTTTTTAACCAACAACAAAAAGATTCTGTTTTCACTGCTCTGCTTTTGGAATATAGCCTTAGTACTGCAGTTTTATAACCCTTTTTTATAGCTTGATTTTGTTTTATTGAGATGTTTATACTCTGAAAATTCATCCTGAAGATAAATGGATCCTTGAATACTTGATACAGACATGAATAAGTCAGAAGAACAAGCTCCAGAATTTTTTTTTTCCTTTCCGCCTCTCCTCCTGTCTTTTGAGTAAAATTAAGAAAAAAATCTCAGAAACAACCCAAACAAGTCTGTGTGCACCTGATTAGTGCAGTCTTTCCAGTCTTTTTGCATAGATGATGCCACAAATGAACATATAAGGTTTCTAATAATATTTACAAGCCTTGTATACTTTCAAAATCTGAGTATCTTTATTTTAAAAAGAAAGCAGAAACCTTGTTTCACACAGTTCCTTTCACTATTTTTCTGCTGAGCTGAGTAACCCCAGCTCTCTCTTATAACTTTTCTTAGCCTCTCAGTTTGAAATCCAAATCTTCAGCCACACAAGAATATTTTTATGACATTCTGTTCCATAAAGAAGGAACTTCAGAGCTTCTCCATACTGTTGACGGGAAAAATAGCATCCAGTCATGACCCGTGAACCTCATGCTTTGTGAAAGACATAAAGCACTTACTGGAGTGCTCTTGTCAGTAGTAAAATCTGTTTTATTTTTGGTCTCTTAAGTTTCCTACAGCATATTTGTAATTCCATTAGAATAGCACTACTTTCCACTGCTGTAAAAGAATAGCAATAAAAGAAGTAAGAATTGCTATGCATCAGTAAAGACATTTGTACAGCTATAGGTTGGTACAAGTAATTTGTTTTCTAGATGTCCTTTTCTCGGAAATATTACGCATAATCCAGTGTCATTAAAAAGAATAAATTGAAAGCTGACCCTGACCACCAGATTGTCATAGAATGGGATAATTTCACCTACCTAAAATTTAGGATTCTGGCCTCAAACACTAGTATAGACCCCTTTTATAGTTGGAAGAAACAGAGAGATACCTTCAGAGAATAGCTGGTCCAGTCCTAGTGTAGGCACAAACCAGAAGTTAGAACCACTGTGACACGGGTTATGCACACTGCTTACCTCCACCAGAGCTCTCTTGACTACTCTACTGATGTCCCTTCTCCACTCTGGGATATCTGGATTGTAGTCATCCAAGTTTGGAGAGAATAATAACCGCAGGGACTGAAATTGCTCTGCAGAAACAATGACATGGTGGTGAGTAAAGACTGTGAAATGACCTAGTGCCAAATGAGTGGGCAGAACCTAGTGAAACCTACTGCAGCTCATGTTTTGCTTAATCAATCTGCAGGTGGTACACAAACTGTCAGAGAAACCAGCAGTGTATCTGAGAGATTCACCAAGATATTCAGAGAATCTGAGAGATTCACTGCTGCAGTGTCATGGAACCGAAAAGGGTGATCAGTCCTTACTTCAATGGATGAATAGCACTGGAAAGGGAGCTGTGTTCAGAACATAATTTAAATGCTACCTTAATCTTGACTTCTGAAGCAGGTAAGCCCGTGAAAGAAGCTGTGATTGTACTCCCACAGTCATGCCTCAAACATTTAATACCCTAACTGGAAGGAGACAGGGATAAAGGTGGGTGAGAGGATTAGCCTTGGAAAACGTACTTCTTAATTTCTTTTGCTGTTAACAGAGATGCCCACACTGATCACTAAGACCATGTGTTTAGATAAACAGCTAAAACTGGGATTCCCGGTGCTTATACTTCTATAGTGTAGCCTACATCTACACTATACGATATTTGTGTGCCTTAACTGCTTCTGAGTACAATATCAAGTCAGTACAGATTTCTGTACAGAACTGCAGCACACAGAATTGACTTATCTTTCAAGCTAAACAGCTTTTGCATGAGTTAAGAGGCCTCTACTGGCCAAGAAGGGGGAAAACAGCTCACAAAACGACCTGACATTTTGACAATCATGCAGGATGACCAAATAGTGATAAAGCTGATGCAGAGGGCTCTGGGAAGGAGACTAATGTTTTGCAATCATGTCAGTCTGGACTAATGTCAGTTAGTGGCCTTCAGAGATGTTATGCTGAACTGATAGCACTGGAACTGAGTTTATAATCTCAATCAAAGCATCCTGGAATAAAGACTGCAAGTTGCTGCCAGCTAGCCTGGCACTCTAGCTCTTGACTATGGAGAATCCTATGTGAAATGAAGGAGGAAGAGCTCACCATACACAGCAATAGTCTTTGTATCCTGAAGAATGGTGTTTTTTTGCTGAGACCTGAACGGTGATGGTATTCATCCCTTCCACAGAAAATGTAAATGTGATGCTCCCTTCCAATGTGATCAGTGGCTGCAAATATATCAGAAAAGGAGAAATTAAGTTAATTTGACTGGAAAGGAAAAGCAAAAAAGAGTTTGGCCCACTAGCCTATTGGAATGGTTTGGGGAGTCAGTTCCAGCTTGGAAACTTAAGACATAGAAGGCATCCTGTGACATGGAAGCCAATTTTTCTGGACAGAGCCCAGGGATCCAGATGGGAATTTCCTCCTGAGGAAGTAAGGTACTATAATTTCCAAAGGAGCTAAGTTTTAAGATCCCAGTATTTCCTTCCCACTTAGCATGCTGGCTGTTCTGGATCCCATGTTGAGGTACTCATCTTTGCTGCACTACCCAGAGAGGCCCAGATCCTAATACGAGGGTCTGCAAGACTCAGTGCTCAGGTGTCACACTCCTTCCCTAGATGTAGCTGTTAGTGATTTGTTTAAGGTTGCTCAAGGAGGTTGTGACAGAATGAGGAGACAAATCAAGATATCTCAGTTGTTCTCCCATGTTATCCTTGGACACTTTTGGAAAGTGATGGTGTTTAGAGAAGACACAGGTTCCCTCAGCTTGCTTTGCTGTGCAAACCAGTTTATCAATGAGTTGTGCCCCCTTTCAGCAATCTCTGCTCTAACTTCTGTTTTCAGTTATTAATGAACTCTGGGTGAGATCTTCAAAGCACCCAGTATGAAGTCAAACTCTGTTCCCATTGTAGTCTGTAGTAAATCTCTCACTTCAATGAGAAGAGTTAGACCAACTCTGATCACTTACGAGCTTAATAGATCAGAAGGAAGGTTAAAAGGTGACAATCACAGTCTGTAAGTACCTCTAGGGAGAGATGATTTCTGGTAGTACAGAGAGTCCTTTAATCTACACACAAAGGCATAACAAGATCCAACAGCTTGAGACTGAAGCTAGAGAAATTCAGACTACAAACACAGTGCATGTGTTTAACATTCAGGATAATTAGCTGTAGTGAAATAGTTGAGGGAGAGGGTAAGAAAGAGAAGCAGTGAATTCTCCATCATCTGAGGGAAATTATTAATGCAAAACAACACCATCACCACAAAGTGAGGTTCTGCCTTAATCACAAAGAGTTAAATAAAGCATAAAGTACTGATGAAATCCTCTGACCTGTGTACAGAAGATAACTATGTGTGGTTGAAGGTTCCTCTTGGCTCTACAAAATCCACAAGAATATCTCCCCTAAGAGGCTAATGAGGATCTCTGGGTCCTTCAGTCACAAAAATAGGTAATATAGCAGTTATAATACCTATGCAGGTTTACCAACACTGCAAGCAGAGGCAACAGAATATGCTGCATGCTGTTCTGATACCTGAGCAGAGCCCAGAGGCAGGGAGGTGTGTTGGAAACCATTTTACCCACCAATAGCTGTAGGAGATCAACTGGAAGAACAAACAATCTGAATAAATAGTCCTAGTACCGTGGCTAACTTGTAATCTCCTGAAACAAAGGACTGTTTTCTCAAGGAAGCATACAATGTCAGGAGATGAAACTCATTAATGGAACAGGGGGTGGACACACCCTGACTCTTTCCAAGGAATGTCTTAAGCACTCACAAGACGCAAAAACCCTTAGACGAAACTGCCAGCACAGCCAAAGGGTGGTCCATGATGAACAACGAACATAAAAGGGGAGCACAAGCTTCAGTAAACGGGTATTCCAGAACTAGCTTACCTAGAACCCTCAGGACTGGTGGTATCTATTCATCCCTCTCCTCTCTTTTCTCCCTCTTTTCCTCCTTTCTTTCCCATAACATATGAACCCCAGGTGAGTGGTGAATAACCAACTCTGCAGCAAATTGTATCCTCTTAAGCTTATCTACTGAATAAATTTGTCTATTTATGGATCTCTAGTGCTGTTGCATCTTTATTCCAATCAAAGCGATCAAAGAATCTGAGTCACATTTGCCTCTTTCCTGCCACTGTGTATTCTGACACAGAAAATCGGGATATGACATAGTCATGGGCTGGAATCTGGGATGTGACAATGGCACATGATAATAAGGTCATCTTGCACACATAGTTTAGTAGAGTGTAGGGGCTCAGGACCTGGCTCAGCATATTTAAGGGGAGGTACAGAACTGATGGCAGTCTCTTCTCTTGTTAATCACCAGAGCTATGTAAAGTCAGTTCCAGATATAAAAACAGCTTCAGTTTGAAAGCTTAGTTTCCCAAAAAAACCCCAAACCCATAAGCTTTTGTTGTTGTTGTTGTTGTTGTTGTTGTTGTTGTTGTTGTTGTTGTTGTTGAAAGGAGCAAGGGGAGAAACACAACAAAAACTCTTCTGGATTTTAGTTCCCTACATCCACCTTGGATGTAAATGCAGTGAGAAAGCTATTGGCAATTTGCATGAAATGGCAATAAACCTTACAGTTAAGTCACAGTAACAAAGACAAAGCAGTTCTTTCATTTCAATGTTGGTACATCAAAGAATCATTGGTCTCTTGGTCTCTGGTTTATCATTTTCTTGCATGTGTGACTATTTAGAAGCATTCTCAGATCCCTTTCTCCCTCCCTCCTCAGTCAGGGAGCTCCTCTGTTATTATTTTGATCTCAATCCATGATTGGTCTCTTGGTCTCTGGTTTATCATTTTCTTGCATGTGTTACTATTTAGAAGCATTCTCAGATCCCATTCTCCCTCCCTCCTTAGTCAGGGAGCTCCTCATTATTTTGATCTCAATCCATAGGACATACAAACCTCCGTGTTGTTCCCAAACCACCAGAGGTAAGTAAGTGTTCCCACTTGGCTTGGCCACAGTACTGCCGTGGCGTTGGTCTCTGGTTTATCATTTTCTTGCATGTGTTACTATTTAGAAGCATTCTCAGATCCCATTCTCCCTCCCTCCTTAGTCAGGGAGCTCCTCATTATTTTGATCTCAATCCATAGGACATACAAACCTCCGTGTTGTTCCCAAACCACCAGAGGTAAGTAAGTGTTCCCACTTGGCTTGGCCACAGTACTGCCGTGGCGTTGACCTCCTTGTTCTTTGTGGTGACAAATGGTAGAGATAAGTGAACATGTTCCAAGGGGCCTGCAGAGACAGAAGCAGCAGGTGAGTCTTCCCTCCTTCTGAAATGTCAACCTGGGGGAGAAGGGAGCTGAGGGGATATTATCCATTGGTTTAGGGAAGGGAAGTCCTCCAAATCACTTTGGGGCGTAACGGTTAATGTTTTGGCCCACTGATATTTCAAGAAAGGGAAGCTTACATTCCTTCTGAAATGTCAACCTGGGGGAGAAGGGTTGCTAAGGGGATATCCATTGGCTTAGGGAAGAGAAGTCCTCCAAATCACTTTGGGGCATGACAGTTAATGTTTTGGCCCACTGATGTTTCTAGAAAGGGAAGCTTACACCTGTTCCTCATAGAACAGCAGCTAGCCCTGTACCTGGAGCTGAAAACTCTTTACTGAATGAACATATTCTCAGAGACATTATATATATACAACTTAAAAAACAAGGGCAGAGCCCTGTTATGTGAATATGGCCTTCACTAAGAAGACAAGAATGTACAGGACAAATGGCTTCAGTGGACATGAAGCATCTCTGCTGATGCAAACTGCTGACTTGGTGAACTTCAGCAGTGGTGTATCTATTTATACCAGCTGAAATTCTGTCTGAAGGCAGCTATTCACCAAGTGCCTTCATTTTAATGTTACCTTATACTCCTTTCTTTTCCTCAATAAACTTTTTATTTCTTTACTATAAACAAAACATAATTCATTCGACAAGTGACATTATGCCCAGGGTTACACATTTCTCATCTTCCAGAGACAGATGGGCCTTTGTTGTTACATCTTGTTCTATAGATTATTTTTTAAAATGTGTTCTGGCTGTTCACTTAGTGAACAAAGCAATTGTCCTGAGAGTGACAGAGAAAGAAAAAGAAAGAAATCCCAAGTGACATGGGGACACGGGTTTCTTAGCAAATTAAGGCCACATCTACATGTCCTGTACCTGCAAGCTCCCCAGTGATGAGAAGCAGAGACCACAGCCTGGGAGGATCAATTGCATTGTCCATATGGAGTTGAGATACATTGCTAGAGGATATTATAGATTTCGGGAAAGCATTTTTCAGGACATAATCCATGCCCTTATCATCACTTAGACTTTACTTTTTAATCTAAAGGAACACCACACAGCACACATAGGCAGAGACACACACATGTGGAAAACTTCTTGTATAATCAATGCTAGCATAAACAAGGACCAGTGTTCCTGACTTATTCCTGAAATGCATCTTTCTCTGGGTTGGGGAGACAGCCACTGCTTAAACTGATACAGCCCAATTAAGAGTTATCCAATGTCAGACTAACCAAAGTCTGCTATAGACGAGACCATAACTCATTTTTCCTTTTATAATCATCAGTCAATGCTCTTGAAAATTCATGAGAAGCCAGAATTTCACCCTTATGATTTTAATGGCATTCCCCTGCTCAGACACATTTTTGTGACTAGGCCATGCCTGCTCTCAGCAATACCCTGAGACCTGAAAAACAGCAGCTTCCCAGGCTAAATGTTCATCAGCTCTGGTATCCTTTGGGATGTTTGCCAAATGCCTAATGTCAGCACACCCCTCTAAAGGAATACATTTCCTAATACTGAATGCAGTGACAGCAGTGACAATGGAGCCCATATAAAGTCTAATACACTCCAACATTACTGCACAGCTGCTCTGAAATACAGCTCAAATGATCCTGCACTGCGCAGAGTGTCCAGCACCTCCTCGGACCTCCACCATATGGTGGCTAGGAAAGGACATGAAAAGACAGCTCAAGCAAGCCAATTGTCCCTTAGTATTTCTCTGCAAATAGTCTATGGGTCAAAGTAGCTGAAATGCTGAGCTATTATCTGGCCAGCAGATGGGGATAGCTTCCTCTGGATGGGCCCTTGGCTTGGTAGTAGACTGCTTTCTCCTAGGTAAATTTGAAGAGAATTCAAGAGAATTAATTTCTGAGCTTCATATGGGGCCATGGAGACTACAGATTTTCACCTGCCCCAGGAAAAAAACCGTGTACAAGTGGCAGGCAACAGAAAGGTAGAAGCTTCTCAAAAGGTTCACTTGGGCAGCTGATATTATTCTGAAGCATTCAGGCAAATACATAACTAACTTTCCAGGGGAAATTTTTGACCTGTCAGGACAGTTCAGAGACAGCCTATGGGCTGGAGAAGCAGTTTTATACAACTTACTGTCTATCCACCCCAAAATGCTCCTGCCTTACAATAACCTGCATTTCTGGATCCCTGGACCAACTGGTCCAGTGGCTGCAGTTTTTCCCTCAGCAAGGCTGCTGGCCACAGGTAGGGAAGGGTGTTGAAAAGCCCAGATCTGGCTGCACGCGCTCATGTATCAACCCTGTAACAAGGGGTCACCCAGTTAGTAGCCCTTCCTAAAATTCTTCTGATGTTCAGGCTGCACACTGCTTTTCTGTGGATCTTAGCAATATAGTGTGTGTGTCTATTGTAAAGACAGATATTTTTACAAAACTCTGCACAGGCCAAACTCATACACCCCAAGCAGAATATTCAGTGGAGAGCTGAGTGGCAATGCAAGCATCTAAATAGGATTTAGAATCTTTTGTGGATCTGGGTGTTAGGCTCTGGAGGGGACTGGATTTACTGTGCTCATCTGTCTTCATCAAATCTATTGGTAGTCTGAGTGGCAGCATGCTCGGTCTGCAACCTGTTTTGAAGTCCCTAATTCTTATCATGTAGAAAAAGGTGAGACATTTTCCTTAGAGCTGTCACTTCTCCGAGGGGTCAGGCACATATAATCTGGGCCTGGCTGAAATGATCACACAGTATTTAAGTCCCATGCTGGCATTACCTATGCACAACACAGAAACATACACTATCAGCTGCTAAGTCACACAAATATATTTGAATATTGTTTATTTCTTGTACTGCTTAAACAATCAAAATGGTCTTAAGCCTTCAATGTCTCAAGAAAATGGATTAAAACTGCTATAAACCATAGAGCCACTATGACAGAGAGTGAAGGCTGGACTTCTACCTTCTCCTTCCATTTTGTGATTATTGTGTGAGAAAACTGTTGTTGCTTCATGAGGCCTCATTACTTTGCAGATAGACTGAGGGTGTACAATGGTCCCCATGGAATTCTTTCCTGTCAAACAGCAAATGATTACAAACCCTGCCTGTATGGTTTGAGGCTGACAGAACCTCCTGCAAAATATCAACCACCAAAACACTTCTTCATTTGTTTCCAATGACCTTTACAAAGAGTTAAAAAAAACCCCAAAAAACAAACACACAGCTTCTGTTGAGCTGACTTCTGACTTCCACAACCAGCAGCAGTGAGAGGGGGATTTCTGCATTCACATGCAGGAAGGCAAACTAGAACAGGACTCCAGAACCAAAGAAATTACACAAAAGTGGATAAATGTCTATTCTGAGCAGGGGTCCTTTTCTCTCCCCTATTTAGGATGATATTAAACTAAAAATAAATAAATAAATCAGTAGTTGTCTGAAAGATTCACCAGTGCCTGAGCACAGAAGTGATATAGGCTAAGCCATCAAATCAAAAAAGCAAGCTTCACAATAAGCTAAGTAATGAGTAGTTACTTTAGTGAGGTATTATAAGTTCTTCAAACGTGGTGCTGCTGAAGGATTATGTGACGTAAAAGTTTGACACAGACTGGGATCTATCAGGTTAGGGAATCATAAATGGTACACTATGATCACAAACTGAAGGTCTTCTTGAAGAGAGGCATTCAGAGAGATATTTGCTCCCACTTCTCTAGTGTTACCCCATAAACCTCCTATTCCCCACAGCTATACCTCCCACTGCTCCTACCTGTTGATACAATGGTGCACTGTGAAAGAGCTGCCCTCTTTCCCTGAAGAGGCAGCTGCTTTTATACTGTAGGAAGTAACTCCAAAACTTGCATTAAATTATATGGAATGTACTAAAATATCTGGACAATAAGTAGAGTTAATTTGGTAAAGGGTAAGTTGTATTTCTGTAAGCATAACCTTAAGTTTTGGAATTTCCTTTTTTTTTATCAGTAGATCTGGCACAGAGGCACACAGCTGAAAACATAAATAATAATTTAAAAAAACCCAAAACCAAACACCACTGTCTAAAGAAAACAATGGCCCTAAGCAAAATCCGTTAGGGATGTTACAAAATTTCAATAACAGGTTGACCCTTTGGGTTCATAACCATGTTCTAGAATAAATATGCAAGAACACATTTCTGGTTTTATGCAAGGACTTGAAATACATTTCAGTTGTAAATCAAAGACAGTTGAAGTATTAAAAGGTTAAGAAGAACAGCATAAGAGCAATGTGAAGCTTATATTTTTTTCTTGTAATACTCTTTAACACCAAGATTTTGGTTTCTATGACAACAGAAAGACTGAAATGCAGTGGTTTCTATACCAGATGCAGTTGCATTTCATTAGAGGGCAAAACACATGTACAAAGTATAAGTCAAGGCTTTTAAAAGTGATTAAAGATCCTGGATGTCTTTGTTTTTCGGTAAGTGTAAACATGCTAATGATGGTTCATTTCCAAAAGGGCTGGACACTCCTTTGAGGTGTCCCAAATTAGACTATCCAAAATTAGAGGCTTAACATGGTTTAAAAAGCAAATGTCACTATTGCCTGTGCCTCCTCTCAGTCTGGTGTCCACTGCTGGAGAACAGACAAACACTCATCATATCCCATCACTCTGCTCCCAGCTGCAAAGCCCTAAACATCATCTCTAAGGACATGTTTTAAAGAATGGCAGAAGCTAACAACAAGTATGAACATACATACACGTTACATGCAGGTAGAGGACAGCGTTGTCAGATCCCAGGCTGTTTTCCACCAACACAGTCACTCGGAATATGCCCACGCTCTGGTAGATATGCTTGATCCCATCTTCTGTTGAGCTGAGATTGGCATAAGACACAGCAATGCCATCTCCAAAGTCCACCTGAATGAGGGATCTCTGGAGGTCTCCCTGTGGTGAGAGAAAAGAGAAATGGTCAGAATAGTCTCTGCTTTTTTTGAGAGACTGGATCAGTAGGGTGACCAAGACCAATCAGAGGATAGCAATAAGGTCTAATATTACTAGAGGAAAACTGGTCACTTCATCAACTTGCTCTGTAATCTGTGGAGAGAAAGTTACTTCCTGCTGAGGTTGACTCAGCTGCACTGTGAAGGAGGTATCCTCCAAGGCACATGCTGTAGCTCTGCTTTCCTATCACCAGGGAAATAGAAAATCTTGAAAATATACTGGCTCTTTCCCCTGGGTTTCCTTATAGTGAAGAGCAGGGTTGTAGTAGGGAATGGTGCTTGCCTCAACAAGTGCCCAGGAGATGGGTAGCTATCAAGATTGCCTCAGGAGTCTTTGGAACAACCCACATTGTGAGCTTTTGTATTTAAAACCATAAAAAGTAGAAAGATAAAACTGAAAAGTTCTCAGGGAAGAGTCACAGAATTACAGAATCACAGAATGGTAGGGGTTGGAAGGGACCTCTGGAGATCATCTAGTCCAACCCCCCTGCCAAAGCAGGTTCACCTCGAGTAGGTTGCACAGGACTGCATCCGGGTGAGTTTTGAACGTCTCCAGAGAAGGAGACTCCACAACCTCTCTGGGCAGCCTGTCCCAGTGCTCTCTCATCCTCACAGTAAAGAAGTTTTTCCTCATGTTTAAGTGGAATCTCCTGTGTTGAAGCTTGTGCTGATATTTATAAACATTAATAAGGTCCCCTCTAAAGAGGCTCAGATGTCTCGGTGTTTGCTCATAAGAAAGATACTCTAGCCCCTTAATCATCTTAGTAGCCCTCCACTGGACTCTCTCCAGTTCCCTATCTCTGTTGAACTGAGGAGCCCAGAACTGCACACAATACTCCAGATGTGGCCTCACCAGAGCAGAGTAGAGGGGGAGGAGAACCTCCCTCCACCTGCTAGTCACACTCTTCTTAATGCACCCCAGGAGACCATTTGCTTTCTCAGCCACAAGGGCACATTGTTGGCTCATGGTCAACTGCTCATCCAACAGTACTCCCAGGTCCTTCTCTGCAGGGCTGCTTTCAACTATGTCAAAGAGGTGGGGTGTCAAAAGAACTGCTTCAACCTCACATAATGAGAGCTTACAGCAGTTTATGACTTGCTCAGTGGCCTGATTTAAAATGAGCTGGATTTGTATTTATTTCAGAACATCTACTAACACTGCTGACACTAAGTGGGACCCTTTGTGCCTGCCTCAGAAGGGAAGAGCTAATGAATTGACAGAGCTGATTAAACTCTTCTCGTCCTGCCTAGAGATAATCAGAGCAGAGTGGGTTTGTGGTACAAGTCAGATTGAATTTTGTGACACTAGTCTCTTGGGCTGCTAATTTAGCATTGAAATTTTTACAATAAATTATAATACATAAATAAAAATCACAGTTGGGAAACAAACAAACAAAACCCCACCACAAATCAAAAGTCAAGGATATCGGGGATCTGATAATGTGAAACAATCCTAAAACAAGTTTGAATCTTCCACTACTGAAACTGAATTCCAGCTTGGTGCATGCAGCTTCATCAAACTCGATATCAGAGTCATTCATCCTTAAAAGGCTTTTAAAACTCAAAAGAGGAGAGTAATGTCATTTCCTTATTCTGCTTTACAGACAAAAAGCGATTTTTTAACTTTTGTTTAAAAGATAGAGAAGCGAGTCACATTTTTAAACAAAACAAAAACAAAAAAACAGATAACCTGTCTCACACACTAGAAACACCTGTAAGATTTTCTTGATATGCCTATGATAAGGGCTGTTTCTGACAGCTGAATAGTTATACAGTCTACTCTGACCTGTGTAACAACTGTGGCTGCTATAGATCCTCTCCTTTTCAGGTAAGATGCAGTACCTGTCTTAACTTTAAGTATTTTTACTCCTTTTGAAAGTCCCCCTCAGTGGCTCTGCATGATGTTTATGCTGGGTATGTTCATGCCTGCTGGCTCTTGCTATGGAGCAGCTCACTCCACAGGCTGGGGCCCCGAAGCAGCTGCCCCTGTCTGGGGGGAAG